GTGGTGGATGCCCCATCCCTGGAAACATTCCAGGTCAGGTTGGACGGGGCTCTGAGCAACCTGATCTAGTTGAAGATGTCCCTGCCCACGGCAGGGGGGTTGGACTAGGTGACCTTTAGAAGTCCCTTCCAACCCAAACTATTCTATGATTCTATCAAGTGTTTAGGAGATGATCATGGACCAGAATGAATTTGGTTGATCTCATTACCTCGTGAGAGACAAAACTAGGCAATTTAAAAATAACAAGTTTGAACATTTTTTCTTGACTGGAGTACTGTACTCATCATGTCCTAGTAACTAAAAGCATCAGGGACTAGATGATAATAATAATAAAAGTATGATAAAATTTGGAATAATCTTCAAAATTTTCCTCTAGAGAAAAATTCCCCCTATTGCAGAAGGGATTTGCTGCTGGTGACAGAATCCACTGCTGAATTATCTGACTCTTACCAGATTCTTTTTGAAACCCGCAATGAATGCTTTTCATACGTCAGTGTAATTTCCATTTTTGAAGCAGAACAATACATCCTTTTAAGACGAAGACGTCATTCCAAAGAGTTCACGTTGACAAATGGTTAGTTGGATTTCATTATACAAGGGGATGAAACTGGCTGTAGAGAGGACCGAGGGCAACTGTGGCCATTGCCTGGCAGTGCTAAGACTCTCTGGCAAAGAAAGAGAACACACGGTATGTCGGAGCAAAGCTGAGATTGTGGACAATACTCTGAAAATTCATCGACTGTTGGGTGCTCGTTTTCTAATGAGGATGAAACAGAAAGAATTAAACCCTTTGACAGGTGAGTTTGTACAGCGATCTCTGTCACTGATGGAAAGAGTAGGAGTGTAAAACAAGAGTTTACCCTGGCAAATGTCTGGGTCGGTAACAATGGAAATTTTTCATTAATTGCTATGAAACCTTTCTCTGTTAATCACCACTTTGCTTAAATTGTTTTATTTTTGAATGGTTGCACGCATAATCCTAACTCTGAATTACCAAAGTTGTGGTCTGCACCTAGAGCCAAGTGCGCGGCACTGAGCGGCAGCTGCTAGCTAATCAGCACGGCCGGGCACCCACCTCCTCTATCTCTTGCCTGCATGTGTCGACATTTCAGTTGGGCAGTTATCTGTGCGCACAAAGGTACATGCAGGGAGGGAAAAATAAGCTGAAGGGCGGTGCTGGCATCAGAGCAATATTTATAAGCTGGCTATGAATACATCAAACCTGAAAAATTGGAAAGCTGGACCTTAAGTAGTAAAGTGCTGAGGTCTGAAACAACCCCACACAAAGAGGAGCAGGATGTAAAAACCCCTATGTATTCATGAAGTGCATCTTGATAATTTAGGAAAGTCAGGGTAAACTTATCTCTTAGGAGATTATACTAACAGTGTCACAAATTCTAACAATTACAAGAGACTTGATCAGAAGTCCTAAGCTGTAAGAAATACTATGCTTACCTAATAGCTCCTGTAATACTTCTGTTTCCATATTTGCGATGATTTATTAACTGTCAGGTTCCCTTTCCCTGCCAATTTTCCTCATTGGTGGTAGCCTGGAGGAAGTTGTTTTAGTTTTTTTAAATTTGTTTAAAAATCTCTTGCACATTGGGGGCTGTATTTCTCAAATTCCTGTGTTCATGTCAGTAAGACGCTGCTCTTCAGTAACCAGGGTATTGCTCCGAGCAGAAGTTATCCCAAATTTTTCATTCACTGTGCTGTTTCAGAGTATTTATTCATTCTCTTCCATTAACTCCCTTGTCCACAAACCAAACTGAAAAGACAAACCAAAACAAGGTTTCGTTCTAGTCAGGCTGCAACAGCGTTCTGAACACTTACTCTTTTCCAGTTGCCAAAACACAGTATGTGGAATATTACTATGCCCACCATGCCTTAATTGTTAATTTGTTCCTGTTGGTTTTTTTTTTTTAAATTTAATTTATTTAAGCATGTAACCCATAAATATTAAATATTCCTATCATGTCATGAAAAAAGCTTCTTGTCAAGTCATTTTGGTTAAGCCGCATGCTGATGAGCATTTCTCTTTTTCCTCTTGGTCAAGAAAGAGTTTTTCTAATTGGCAAATACTTTCAAAACCTGCATTCTCAATTGAGATTCATGCACATTGTTTCAGAGAGACATGCCCGTCATTGCCACTGAACCAGAGAATGCATTCTTGAAAGAAATCTTTTTTTTTTTTTAAGCTGCTTGTATCTACAGCTATGCCTTGCAGTGTTGAAAACAGTCAGCTCAAGGCAAGAAACTGCAGGTGCTCTTGCTGTACAAGAGGCCTTAATGTCGGGGGATTCACTTTTCTTTTTCAATCAGTTATTCTAAACAACAATTTGAGGGTTTGTCCTTTTACTTCCAAACTCAATGACTTGGAGAGAAAGTGCTAAAATGTTACTAGGTTTAGCAGTATTTTTGCCACGTATGGATTGAAATTAGGCTTCTCCTGCAGAAACCTCCCTTAAGAGGATATTTGCAGCTACCAGGGATTATCTGTATCTATTCACCGCAACTGCACTAGCCTGTGCTGCGTTCTCCGGGGGATTTTTTGTTTGTTGTGCATCTTGTTAGTGCTCTTACTTTTAACCTGTTAATACTACCGGCCATAAAGCCCTTCTCTCTGCAGTTTGGACAAGACAAATTCTCAGGGATTCGTGGGAAAAAACCTTGGTGGCAAGATCTCAGATTTTAAAATTACAGTAATGAGAAACACTACACTGAATTTGAAGGATCAGGTTTCCTTTTGTAGTGCACTTCTAAAATATTTTCTTTCAGAAACGGGGTGCCTGAAGAACTTCGTTTTCCCATATTCACATTACATAGCTTTTCTTTGTTCTTCCATTTGAATGTCTGACATCTGAAAGCTCTGTTTCCCAAATGACGCTATTTTGCTATGTCCATCTCCATTGCTTTACTCCAAGATACTGTTCTTTTTCATCCCACTTCAAATCCAAATGGATGTTTCCATGATTTTTAGTTATTCTGGTACTTGTTATACTCATTGATTTGTTCAGTGCAGTGTACAAACCTCTTTGTTTACCAGGCAAGATTCAAAGACTACGACATCGGAGTCACCGATTTACCGTCTCAGTGTTTCCGATAATGGAGTGCATGACAGGTATTTCGTGGCTTGTCTTGGCATCTTAGACTCAGCCCACTTTTTCCTTCCTTTTTGGCCTTTTTCATTCTTTGTATAGTCAGGCTGACTTAGAGAATTAGGAAGTTTTGGACCTGTTGTCTGTGTGTAGATTCCAGTTGTAAACACTGCTTCAGGATTACCACGAGCACTGAAGGATGCCTGCTCAGAACAGCTAATTGTACTCTAGTGTTCCCGAAATCAGCCCTCAAGTGATGTTTATTAAAAGAATTGAAATTTTAGGGAAGTCTGAAGGAGAATATGTGAGTTTTGTAAAGCATGGGCAAATAAAAGAACACTGGTTGAGAATGTTACTTCTCCTGTCTATTTTAATATTGTTTCCCTCACTGAAGATGCTTGTCAAATTACCTGCAATTCTTTTTGCCAAATCTAAGGCAGTTCTAAGGCAGCACTAACTGATAGTGGTTTCCACAAAATAGACTGACTAATCAATAATTTAGATTCATTAGTGGAGAGGAACAAAGGCCTCTCTTCATTCTCATGGGAGTTTTACAGAAAACAGGCAGGAAATGCTCGTCATCGAGTGGAAAAGGAAGAATTGAACTTGAAAATACACTGGGCTTTAAATACAAATCTCATTCATAGGTCAAGAAATAAGTTACGTTATATGTAAACTTTAATGTGAAAATGAAGTTGTTCCTGTTTCCAGAGAGCTGGGAGAGCATTTCCTGGTTTAGTACTTTATGTAGCCAAATAGGACAGAAATTGCTGGTGGTTTAGATATCTATTTTGATTCTGTCTCTCCCTCTTCTAATTCAGAACCAAAAGTTAGACAGAGTTAAACCATCTTTCCACCGTCGAGGTCTGTCTTTCAGCTCTTTGTCTCCTAAGGTCATTTGTTTGCTTCCTTCTCGCTTTATTCACATCGGTTCCACAACCTCTCTCTTCTACGTATAGGCTCTAGGCTGCCTTGTGTATTGCTAACATTCCCTTGGGCAGTTCCAGCAAATGTAAAATACGATACGGCTTACCATTATTTTTATATTGCTGTTTGTAGGATCGAATCTGAATATCCTGCCTTTTCAGTTTAAAGGGTTCCACTCCCCTCTGGCATGTTCCTCTGAAAGGATGCATGAAACAATCATTTTACAAAAAGTCCTGTGATTTGTGGTACAGTGTATAAAGCACCATTCAACTACAGGATCTTATAGAATAATGATAAACCAATACAAATCAAAATCAGCAACAGAAACATTGGCACATACCCTAAAAATAAAGGTCCTGTAAAGATGAACTTAAAAATAAAACACATTTACCTCGCATACAAGATATTCCTATGACAGATGTTTTGCCTTCACTGCCACTGTATATCGGCGTGTTCTTTCCACTACCCAGACTGTGATTACAGACTGGAATATGATCTTGTACGCTTAAGGCATGATGGAAATTAAAGAACCGTGTCGAATAAAGGGGCAAGGTTGAAATATTGATAACCTTTCAACATCACTGACCAAGCTAGAAAGCAGGAAGAGAATAATGCCTCCTCAGCTATCAAAATTTCTCACTAAAATTAAAAAATGAAAAATTCCTGTAACTTTGGAACAAGGAGGATCCAGGCGATTATAGGCCCATCAGTCTTGCTTCAGTCCCTGGGAAAGTTATGGAACGAATCCTCCTGGGGGCTATCAGAAGTCAAATAGAACACATGATTGGGAAAAGCCAGCACGGATTCACCAAGGGCAAATCGTGCTTGACAAACCTGATCTCCTTCTACGACAAAGTAACCTGCTCGGCTGATGCGGGGCGAGCGGTGGACATCGTCTACCTGGATTTCTCCAAGACTTTCGATACTGTTTCCTACAGCCTCCTCCTAGAGAAACTGATGCGTTACGGTCTAGACAAGTGGTCCGTGCGGTGGGTGGGGAACTGGCTGACCGGCCGTACCCAGAAGGTGGAGGTAAACAGCTCCTTTTCAAACTGGCAACCTGTCACAAGTGGGGTCCCCCAGGGATCGATATTGGGCCCAACGCTGTTTAATATCTTCATAAGTGATCTGGATGGTGGGGTCAAGTGTACCCTGATGAAGTTTGCTGTTGACACCAAACTGAGTGGGGAAGTGGACACTTCAGAAGGGAGAGACACCCTGCAGGAAGACCTGGATAGGCTGGAAGAGCGGGCTAACGAGAACCTTATGAAGTTCAACAAGGACAAGTGTAAGGTCTTGTGCCTGGGAAAACATAATCCAGGAGTGCAGCACAGGCTGGGATCTACCCAGCCGGGGAGCAGCTCTGTGGAGAGGGACCTGGGGGACCTGGGGGATAACAAGCTCAATATGAGTGAACACTGTGCCGCTGCGGCAAAGAAAGCTAACAATTCCGATTGGACACGAGAGGAAAATTTTTCACAATGAGAAGAATCAGCCATTGGAATAATCTCCCCAGGGAAGTGGTGGATTCTTCAACATTGGACACTTTTAAGATTCAGCTGGACAGGGTGCTGGGCCATCTTCTCTAGACCGTGCTTTTGCCAAGAAAGGTTGGACCAGATGATCCTTGAGGTCCTTTCCAACCCGGTATTCTATGATTCTATGAAGTCAGTCTGCTGAAATGTCCTCCCTGGACATGAAAACCTCCTGTTGAACTAGACTGGATTACACTATGAGCTGGTACAATCCTGCACTCGAAAATCCCCCACTGAAAAAAAATGAAACCTGTTCTTCACTGAGCGCGGTGCCTGAAGGAACTTGTAAATCTTCAGGCAGTAAAACAATTGTAATCTTAGGCAAGACAGGCTCACAAGGTCCCCTAGTAGTTCCAGTCCAGCCAGGAGAGCACAGTGTTTAGTTAACAACTGTAAGCGCAATTTAAGTAACACAGAAGCTGCTCACTCTTCCGAACAACGTTCTAAACAGCTAAAATTCAATAACAGAATTTTTTTTTATCTTATCAATGGATATACTTTTTTTGTTGTTGTTTTATGAGAAGAAAACAAAAGTAGAAGATGAAGAAAGCCTAAGGAGAGCATTTCCATGAGAGAGATGTTAATGGTTTAGTGAACTTGAAAAATTGAAGAGATGTAGGTGTACAGGACAACTAGTGGTAGATGGGAGTCCATCCAGGAAATCTCAGTCCTTCCCACTGAGAAACTTCAAGCAGATTCAACTGAACTACGAGGTAATAGATTTAATTCAGACAAACGGAACCATATTTTTAACAACACTAACTTTAGGATGTCACTGATTCGATTAATTTCAATTCAAATTTTCCACTTAAACAATTCAGAAAAATTAATGACTGCAAGAAGCTCATCTAAATTATCATTTACGATGGAACCTTCATTCTTAGCAATTATCACCAACAGCAGAACATCAAGCTAAGAGGAAAGATACTTAAGGCTTTTTAACCACCTCCGATATTGACCTGTTGCATTACCTTTGGAAAGGCATTCTACACCTTTATGGTCCTCCTCTTAAAATCCGTCTGGTCTGTTCAGATTAACAGGAAAATTCTGGTTTACTTTGCAGCAAGGAGAGTATGTGTCTTGCTATTAATGCCCGATGCCTGGCTCTGCATAGCTTCAATCTATCTCACTTGGAAACTGTAAAAGCCATTCTATCAATAAAGATATAGTAGATAGGTCATAAACTGTTGAAGGAGGAGTCTAAAGAAGAATTGCTTTTTCTGTCTGTGTTTTTTTGGTCTTTTTGATACTTCCCGCTCCTCTGCTAGCTCTTGGTTTTGTGTCTCTCACCCCATACCTTCAACCTCCTCCACGTCATCCTCGGAGCCAGCACTTCTGCTTTGAATCTCAGACTTCCGTTGCTGCGGTGGATGAAGATCACTTCCTACCCTACGTTACTCAAAACGAATCAGGTGTATGGCACACTAATGAAACGTGACATTTAAAAAAAAAAAAGAATTAAAGACCACTACCTTGTGCATTACAAAACACCAAGCTGACGTGACTGTGCCTTTCTCTTTATTGTGAGGTCTGTTTCCTGCGAAGAGCTGTTACGGGTAAAGGCAGGGCTGTCGATCATTCACCTTTTCTACTATGTTAATGTCATAGCAGTGGGTGGGAAATGTCAAAGGGAAATGGCATTTCAAATGAAAACAATTTTGTAATTCCATCGTATTTGTCTGACCGTTTTTCCTGGTTAAATTTTCTAGGTTTAAATAACGGTCAACAATCAATAATGATTTATATGAACATCACTATGACTTTCTCTTGGTTTGGTCTCTTGCTAAAATGTATCTATTTATTAACAAAAAGCTGCTGCTTAAATAAGGCCAGGCACAGACGCACTAATTTATGCTCAGTTGACTGAATCTTTAATAGAGCATATCAGTGAACATTCCCGCCAGATACACTTGCCGTGTTCTTTCTTAGCGTTTTCAGAAAACCCTTCATATACAAATATTGCAGTAGCAGTTTACCACAGATCCGATATACCTAATCCCAGGATTAATTTTGTATGCCCATCAGTAGTGAAGCAAGATGGATTTAATAGCCCATTAGTCTTTCAGCATGATACTTTTCACGTCACACAGCCTGCTGGGTTAATTGCTTTAAAATGGATATTATTGACCTCAATCCTAGTGACAAATGGAGAATGTCTTATTCATCTCCCAAACGTACATTCTTAGACTCTTGTTTCTTTTGGTCCTGACAATGTCCCCTAGATTATGTGCGTGTATATTATGATTTATACCCTATTAGCCCATATTTAAGGGTTTACTGAAGCAACGTCTTTCAGATATTATTACCCATGACTGGGCTAACTTTTAAATTCTGTTTTTTATGTAAAGAGAAATGTTGCCAGCATAAGAAATCATTGTTTTACCTCTTGTTAAGAAATTAATTGTAACGCTAAAAGCTGTAGCAGGTGCAGCAGGGATTAAGCACTTTCGGAATAAACAGCTGGCCAGTATATTTCCAACCACGAAATGGGTCGTTAGGAAGAGAGAATGAAGAACAAATTTGGACAGAGAAGCTGTAGGAAAGGAAATTCAGGTCCTAGGATAGAGAAACAGAAAAATATCTCAGGAAAAAGAAAACCAAAGAGTAAAGCTGAAGAGTAGAGTTTTTATTCGTGTGTATTAGTTGTGGATTTTTCCCCTTAGTAATTTAGAGAAAACACAAGCCATCTGCTTGAGGCAATTAACGCTAGCTGCGAGCAGCAGAAAATAGAAATGGAGGGAGTGGAAGAGCAGCACAAGTTATGTTATTGCTTGCGGGGAGGTGAAACAGGGTTAATGTAGCCAGTTTTCAGACCTACACATGTCAACAGCGCAACACGTACATTTATCCATAGGTAGTTGTATTTCTCAAGCACCGGTTCCTATGGGAAACAAGAGGGCAAGATTTAGATGCTTGATTGCAGGAACGCAAGATTTGGAGCAGATGTGCTCACAGTCTCTAGAAGCATCCAAATCCCACAGAGCTTACGGATGTTTGTAAAAGGGTGTATCCTCGCAACCCTCTGAAGTCTCTTTATGTGGTTTCCTGGGGTAAATCGGCTTTGTAAGATACAGAATGGAGAGGCTTGGTATTTTTAAAAAGTGATTTCTAAACCAAATTAATGTTAATAAAGGTCATTTATCTACTAGCATAAGACCACCTTGGTGCTGACCATGAGTAGCGTCAGAACCGTCTCTTCATGAAACACATTAGAACCTGCTCTAGCGTAATATTGAGGCACTTAGGGACATGGTTTAGTGGGCATGGTGGTGTTGGGTTGATGGTTGGACTCGGTGATCTTAGAGGTCTTTTCCAACCTCAATGATTCTATGATTCTATGATTCTATGATTCTAATATGAAATCCGTAAGACTCCTATTGAACCGCGTGATTGACTTAAACAGCACTAGGATTTTCCCTGGGAGCTCAGTTCCACATCTGCATGACAATGACAACTTCAATGACAATGGTATCGTTTTTATTAACAACTATTGGTGTAACTACATTCGCGACACAAGCCATGATTGAAGTTGGACGTTCTCGCTTCAGTTGCAAAGCACCTTGGACTCCCCGTGAAACAAAACCCAACCGTACACAGCAACTCTCCGCTACAGCAGGTGGTGTGGCCGACCGTTGCTCTCCAAAGTGTTTTCCAGGAAAAAAAAAACCCAACAACTTGTTTTTTAACCTTTAAACTTTTTTTTTTTCCCCCCTAAAGTTAGGTCATCTACTTCAGGTCGTTTAGGTCATTGGCAAATCTCCAGTGTTAGCATGTTTCGTACAAGGCAAAAAAATGGAAATCTTCTGAAAAACAAGAATGTCAGCATTTCAGAGAGAAGTGAAAAATCAGAGGAAGCAGTGAGGATTTGGTCCTTACAAGACTGGAAATATTTCATGTTTCCTTTTAAGAATGCTGTTTAAGCATTTGCGATTATTTAATGATTTTGTGACATTTATTTTTCACTGTGGACAGCTCCTGCCGCCCGTATCAGAAAAATTTGAGATCAGTGCGTTATACTCTGGGTTTACAACTTAGGGCTGGTTGATCAGCTCATGTAAATCAGCACATCCAGAGGAATCAGAGGAGGAATGCCTAATTACTGATGCTGAACACCTAGTCCTAGGGTTTTTTTAAGTAAAAACCGTGAGGAAAATACAGCGGCTCAGATCTTGCTCCTACAAAAGCTAGTGCTAACATATGTACCGACGTCAGAGGTGCAACACTTGACCCTAAGTACACAGCACTGGGAATCATTAAACCTTGACAGATTTTAGTCACACCTAGTGTTGCCAGGCAGTTTTGCAAATTAAATCACCAAATTACGAAGTACATCGAATCTTTTTTTCTTTAAAAGTATTTTGTGCTCTGTTGAAAAATACTCCTTTAGGCACCTTTGTGAGGAACAAACGCGTATTTTGTGGATCGGCGGCAGATTTGAGCTCAAGCCAGAGCCGAGGGTTCCTCAAGGGTATCAGCAGATACTACGTGACCGCCGGCTCTGTTTTCCTTCCTTCGGTGAGGAAAGCGTCCAGCCGGGCACCGACAGCCAAATTCCCAAGGGGAAACGCCGCACTTTTCGTCTCCGTAACAAAAAAGGCAGAGTCCCGTGACAGCGTTCTCCTCGCAAATCCCGCCGCCTCGGGAAAATCGCACTGACAGTCCTTCCCGAGCCCCCGCCGAGCACCACAGCCACCGCTCCGTCCCCCGCACCCCAGGGCCGGGAGCCCCCGGCAGCCCCCTCTGGAAGGGGGCTTCCAGCTTCCAAGG